TATTATTGAATTAATCTTGTTCATTAAGATGAGCATATATATATATATATATGCTACATTGAAAGAAACCAAAAACTCTAAAAAAATCATATATGCATACACCCTAACTAAATAAAACATATCTAGAGAATATTTACACGGAACTCTAATAAGAGGGCCAAACTCTAACCAGAAAAAAGTAGGCCAAGCACTTACATGATATAGTGTACTATCTGGTCGAAATCTTGAACTTGGAGAAGGTCGACCACAAATTCAGATTATAGATGGAAGCTGAGAGTTGGAATCACATCAAATGTCAAGATGTAGCTATAAACGGAACTTGCTAAAATGGAATCATTTTAAAAAATGAAGAGCAAATACCAGTAACAAAATCGAGAAGAAGAGATTGAGGGTTTGGGAAAGCCCATGCCAGTGACAAAATCTAGGGGTGAGAGAGAGAGAGTTATGGAGAAAATAAAAATTGGATTCAAACCTGGAGTCAAACAAAATGCCATCAGTTCATAACCGATTGAAACCAAAAACATAATTTCAAACCAAACAAAAAACTTAAACTAACTTCAAATTTAAAAAATCTCATCGGTGCAATAATTAGGCCTAACAGATTCATAGCAAAATTTTATTTCATCCATTCTAAACTAAATTAAAATTCAAAAAATGCTGTCATAAAGGCAATAAGTTCATAAAAGAAAGATAAAACCTTATATGGATTGATGGAGAATGCTTGAAGGAGAAAACATGAGATCGATTGGGAAATTTTATAGTCCTGCATCTTGGGATTGTCGTCGTATATTGGGGAAGGGGAAAAGAAGGAGAGGTTGGAAAATGAGTGATTGAGAGCGGGGATGCCATTCTGGAGCGCTAATAACTCGGAGATTTAATCATTGCCTTGGAAAGGGAAGGGGAGTGAAGTCGCATACGTAAGAGAGGAAGAGAAAGGGGCGGGAATCAAATAAGTTGGAAAATAAACCCTTGCAGATGAAGAGGTAGTATTGATAACTTGTATATCATGCATAAAGAGTTGTAATTAAGAGATTTACGACTTTGAGCATAAAAAGAGTAGCACCTCCTGCATGCATTTAAGGTTGTTTTTAAGACTTTCTCAAATATGTTTTATAAAGTAGTATAGATAGATAGAGAGAGAGAGTTAAGTTCCGATGAGAATGAAAGTTATCGTGAGAAAGATTCCTTCTTATGCTTCTCATTTTAACTCCTATTCCCACACGATTTTTCATCTTTATATATAAAGCTTTATCTGATGATTCACAAGAACATGCATACATTATTCGAAAAGCTAAATCTATCATACTCTAATCTCACTTTGAGTTGATTACTTCATCCTCCGTACATTAATTAAGACCTCGTTTACATATCTTCTATACCAAGATCTCAATTTCAGACACAAACTTAAGAACTAACTACCACTATAACCCCGTTCATTAACAAATATATCCAATATACTTCCATAACATCATAAATAACTGATCCAATCAATACAATCAATTTATGTTCTTGTTAGCTTACAATCTTACACAACAACTTTTACAGAAGGAAAAAATTAAATCAATCAGAGATTCTTAAAATATATAATGTTTTAATTAATTTCTTTAATTCTGAAAAGGGTTAATGGATTGAACTCCGGCCGGTATTTGTTTGAGGGAGGATTAAGAAGAGCATATCTTATAATTAACATGTGAATCTTTTTCAACAAAACATGATTAGTTGTGATCCCATAAATAATTTTATTAATTACTTAAAGAAATTGAAAGCCAACACATTTTGAGACATACATGTGCTTCTAACCACCTTCACACACTCATCAATTCCCCTATTCATATCCCCACAAAGTCAAAACTTTTGATTTTCATTATCAAGTTTATTATTATTCTTAATTAAATTTAATAAAATAATACCCATTTTATTACTTCATAACCTTACAACCTTTTTCAGATCAGGATACTGATTCCAAGTCAAGATTGCTTATTAATTACTTAATTACGATCATTACCAAATAATGGTTTATGAATACCATCGATTTTTTTGTTAGTATAGGGGTGTTTTAGGCATTTCAAAAATGATTAAATATTTTTTATTTGAATTATGTGTTAATTGAAACATTTATAAGCAAATCGATAAATGAAGTCTTTGAGTTTATTTTTAATATTTTCCTTAAAAACAGCTTTAAAATCATGAAATATATGGATAGCAATTGGCTAATTTGGTGAATGCATTTTCATATGAAAAAGTCAACGTGTTATAACAAGGGTGGTACCTGATTGGTTTGAACTTGAGCTCCAAAGGTCAAAGTGTCTGGAGGTCTCAAGTTCACATCCAAGAAGAAATAAAAATCCACTTGTGGCCACGGAGGTTCAAATGCGGTGACTCCAGGCTACCCGCAAAGCAGGTGGTCGTCTTGGGATTAGTCGGCTCGCATAGCGGGTTGGATATTCAGGTTAATAAAAAAAAATTGTTTAATTTATATACTTACACTAATTATTGTCAATTACATTTTTACATCTTTATTAGAGTTATTTTCAATCTTGCAGCAACTTTTAAAAAACATTCAGCTCTGAATTACATGTAATATTTTTATGAACAAAAATGACTAAAAGGCCCTTTGAATTATTTTTTAAATTACTGTAATTTATTATGAGAAAAACAAAATAAATGGCCATGAATGAGTAGCCCCATAAACATGCACATGCCTTTGTTCCCCTCCTACCACTTGGGGCATGGCTATTTTTAATTATAAAGCCATGCTTCATTAATAATTATCATTAATTAAATATTCATATATTTAAATTGTTTTAATTAATAATTTACAAGATATAAAAGTTAAGGTATGCATGTTGATATATATATATATATATATATATATATATATAAATTAAACTATAAATAACAAAGTTGCATTATACCAAAAGGATTATGTAAAACTTTGACAACAATTTATGGCAACAAATGACAATAAATCAAAAATAAAAACAATATTAAACACTCCAAATATCTTTTGTGAGGCAAGCCAGTAGGAGATTCATTGTTTTTTGTCCATTACAAATGTCCAAAATCATCTTTAATTGACAAATTCTATATACTATCAAACTTAAGTTTTTTCTTCAAGAACAAAAAACAAAAACAAATCCAAACACATTCAAACATTAACAGCTTGATCCACTGAATCCATGTTCTTAGATGATTTTGAAGTTGTCATGAACTTGAATCAAGATTAGGGTTTGCTTCAGATTTCATGAGTTTAGCACCTGCTCTTGCATTTCTCCATTGCTCTTGGGGCTGCATCAAATATATCACGATATTAGGGTTTTCATCAGACCTCAATATTACATTTTTCTACAAACAAACGAAAGTGACAAGCTGCAAACATACGATCACTGATCCAAGAGACTCGGGTGGTACCAATATCACCAGTTTAAGGACAAAGATAATTTAGTGTATCATCATTCATCATAGAAGTCGAAAATATTGGTGTAAATTAACACAGAGTTTTCATAAGGAATTGCTTACCGAGTCCAATTGCATCCGATCCCTTCATGATTCGAAGTCGCTTGCAAGAATCAACAAACATTCTGCACAAAAAGGAGTTGGATCGATTGGCATCATTAATTAATGTTTTTCATGGGTTGAATCGATTTATGAGGTTTGATTACATCGATCAAGAACTTACTGCCATGGGACATCTCCGACTAGCATCCAGTCACCATCTTTATCTTCGTAGCTTGGAACATACTCAGAACTGTTAAGCAGATCCATCAACTTGCTCTCATTCATGAAATCAATCATTCCCTGGGATCCATAATCTCCTGCAAGGTTAATTAATTACAAGAAAATTATAAAAACAGAATTTTTTTTAATGTAAAAAACTCTCATAAGTTAATTAAATAATCACTCTATTTATCCCATAAAACTCATCAAATTCTAAATTTAAAATACTTTATGAAATTCACCAGCATTTCTATATTTTGGAAGGTTAAAAAAGAATATGCATTACAAATTAACTCAAGTATTAATCTAACATAGTTTTTACCATTAGATGTTTCAAGAACTTCTAATTTTTTTATAGAGAAAGCCATCAATAATTACATATCTATATATTATTATAAACAAAGGAAATATACACATGCAATTATTAAGCATTCACTATGTGCCAATTTCACCATTAACTATTAGTATATTAAATCTAATCAACAAGCATTCAAATCCTTTATAAGTTATTGTAGATTGTGAAAATTTGCCTTTTATAACTTGCACTTTGAATGTTTACTATAGATTTCTGTGTGTCAACGGCCTGAATATGTTGAGTCTTTTTGCAGATTAATTTGTAGACTTATATTCAAGAAACCTTATCTGAATGCGATTAAACAAGGAAGGTGAAAACTTTCACCATCTTGATGATTTATGAGGCAAGAATTGTCAAGCAAATTTAAGCTAAGCTATTAAAGGGGTATTTTTAGTAATTAGCAAACTAAAAACATACCCATGGTGAAGGAACTAAACATCTTGGCCAAAGCATCAGATAGTTGTTGATAACTCTCGTACACCTTGAGGTCCACCTTACGAAGATATGGTGCTCCATCCATGGAAACCTTCACAAATGCCGCTGCACCGCTGCCGCCGGTGGAGGTGGGTGCAACCACCTTCTCAGTTTCCTCATTGTGGCTCTTTTGAGCCATCAGGTTCTTGCGATGGTTTCGCACTGGTGGCCATCCTACCACCTGTGCCCTATTAATTCAAAAATTTAGAAAAACAAGAAGAATTTAGAGTTCATGTTAAGTAATTACCAACTATGATGGAGAAAATATCATCATTTAAATAATAAATCTAGCTCTAAGAAATTCATGTAACTATGTATAAACACATATATGAAAATATATGCCAGCAAATCAAGAAAATTATTGTATTCAAAAAGTGCAAAAGGGTTTTTGCCGAGTAATTGTATATACATGTAAGTATCAATCTGTTAAATTGACACACATACTTAAACACACACAAACACAGATATGTATATGTATATATATATATATATATATATATATATATATAATGTCTGTATGTATGTATATGATGTTTAAATTCAAAAAAGGCTAGAAGCTTACTTGGCTGGTGGCTTGATCACATCTTTGTTGTTCTTGGATGAGTTCTGCAACTTCTTGTCATTCATGAGATCAGTAGAAGATGAGGACTGATCATTTGCTTGAAGATTAAGCATGAGATCAACAGTCTCTGAGAAACCACGTTTTCCGGTGACCTTTAACGTCTCAGCCTCACAACCGCCTCCGCCGGGCAAGCCAAGGCATAGCTCAGTTTCCTTGAGGTGCATCATGGTTCCAACTTGCAAGCAAAGCAATCAAGTATCTTTTTATTACTACTGCTTCTTGATGATTCCTTCTTCTTTCAATTCTTATGAGAGAGAGAGAGAGAGAGAGAGAGAGAGAGAGAGATGCAATAACAATAAGAAAGAGAAGTGGTATAGAGGCTCATGTGCATATATAAGAAAGGGTTGCATCCTTTGCATCATGAACTGACGGATCATATGCAAACACGTGGTGGTATTTGGTGTGTAAATCTTCTAGGATCAAGGGCTAATTTTAATAATAATAAAATAACACAAGTGTCACAATTTATAAGAAAAATCCTTTTTAGGTTTTATTATTTCATATTATATATACATTTAAATTCTTAAGATTTAAATAAAAATAAATAATACACTGCTAAAAATACGTGCATAGATGAATGGTAAAAGAAATACAATTTTCACTATCATTCATATACGACTTCACTTCTTTCAATACAAAAAATAAACTATCATATATACCTATATATAGTATATATTTCTTCTTTTGGAAAAATTTATCATTAAAATTTTACTTATATTGATTATTATTTATTTGTATAATTTGATTTTTTAATAGCTCAAAAGAGTTTTCTATTTTGTTTTATTATAAACTATGAATAATTTACATATTTAATTGACTAATAGTTGAATAATTTCATCAAACTTTATATCTAACAAACATTGATTTTCATAGGATAAAAGAAACATATTTGTATTTATTCTTATTCTCTATCCATGAGCTGAAAAATGAATAACAAATGTGATTATGTGATAACCAAGTTCAGATTATATAATTTGAAGTAATTATTTGGTTAATTGATTATTTGGTTAGTATAAATTTATGATTTATATGCATGTATATATGCATATGTAGGTGAGTGGTGGTGGGGTGGG